CATATAATAGTTTAGACTAGGTTAGATCCAAGCTTGATGAAGTTATATCCATATTGAATTTTTCCTTTCAGCGGTACCGTACGCCATCGCGTTCCCGCTCCCGCTCACGGAGTGCCACGCCCCCTCACTGGCGTGTGGAGGAGCAGCGGCGCCTTGGCAACTTGGTCTCCGACCAGTGGCAGCGGAGGGGAGTGCGAAGGGCCAGTCTGGGCTCGCAGGACGACCGGTGGGAGAGGGGTGCCGCCCTACAGACCACTAAGCCAGAGAATAAGTACGTTCTAGGATGTTGCTGATGTTCATTTTGTAACGTTGGTGGCTTACAAGTACTGAGAAACAGTTGCACCGTCGACCTGTGTGTATTTTATGCAAGGGTGTGCCACAAAATCCTGGTGTAATTTTTAGTCGGAATCATCCATTGCTATAGGAATAGCTTAACAGTGTACATTGTTTTCCGTCTTTGATTTTTTTGGTCACAGACGTGCCGAACCCCCGCAGGGCAGGACCATCCGAAGGGAAATGCTGATTGACGACCGCGCGAGGCCCCGCGCCCGAGACAACGGCATCGGCCGGCAGCGGGACAGACTGCCAGGGAGGAGCGGGGGGCGTCTGCCACCACCGCCCAGGGAAGAGAGGGAGCAGAGGCAGCCAAGAGGAAGGACGACGATGGAGGTGTCCCAGGGGTCCGAGAGGACGGACAAAGGAAAGGAGAACGGGAAGGAAAAGGAGAAGAAACAGAAAGACAAAGACAAGTGAGATTTCCTTGCAAACATTTTATTTGCTCAGCTGTTGTGATCTCAGTAAAGCCTGGTTTCCATGTTGATGTAAAGAGACACACGCAGCGTTATTAGCTATTTTGATAGGAACTGTGGTACAATAATACATGTACAATGCAGCGTACAAGACTTCTTGGGCAAGAACTCTCACAAACCTGGTTAATTCTTACATTTACCATTGGGATTTTTAACACATTCTTATTGGGCAGTTTGTCAGGCATCGTTCCTGAATCTTCCAAATCCCATGTGTGAAGTAGGGAAGAATGCGAATATAACAAGCGTGGTTGGGTCCATGAAAAATGTTTGGATATGGGGATTCTGAAGTCTGAATTCTGCAGAAACACTAACATTGCAGGTTGCCCCCAATGAATGTGTCATTGCTAGTTGAAGTAGCAACATCTTACATAAAATATTGAAATGAGGCGGTCACTTTCTGTTCTTACAGCAGCCTGAAAAACACGTTTTTCATGGACAGGTTTATAAGTGATTGTTCCTAACACCTGCATTTCAAGTGCAACTTAATGTGCTTAGCAATTTTGGTTTTGCTGTCCTCCACAATGTTTTAATGTAGATTTATCTTCTTGTGAATTTGTGATAAATTGTGTATTTTTAATTTGTTAATTGCGTGCTATTTTATGGAAACCGCTGTCATTTTTCCTGCTGTTTTAGTCTAAAAGCACATTGAGATTTTATGCTTTTTTGCATGTATTAATGTATTATTCTGTTTCTGTTAAGGTCTCACAAGAAACACAAAAAGCACAAGAAGCACACGGAGAAGGACAAACGCAAAGACCAGGAAGAAGGCACTGCCAAAACCAGAAGGGCGCCCTCTCCCCAGCAGCGATCGCGTTCCCCACGAGCCAGGAGGGAGCGAGCCAGGTCCCCGGGGAGGGATGTGCGGCTGGGTGGCGGTGCAGGCCGACGTAGGCTGTCCAGCCCCTCTTCCAGGGATGCCAGACGGAGCGCCGCTAGCCAGCAGGTCGATGCCAAGGCCAATGACAGGTATGGACTGTTCAGTGCATTGTTTAGAAACAAAACGTTCTATTAAACCCTAACAGTTGTCAATCCTCCAAAATGTTCTATTAAAACCTGATGATTGTCAATCCTCCAAAACGTTCTAATAAACCCTGATGGTTGTCAGTCCTCCAAACAGGAAAGAATGAGGAGAGCTCATTGTTGAATAAAAGTGCAGATTTACCATTTTGCATTTTGAAGGAGCTTTACAGTTGGAGTTTTAAATTTGATTGTTGAATTCTGTATGTCATTTGTTTCATTTTCTAAGGGTAGTATACTCAATGCTTTCCAAGAACCTGTGGCAAGAAAAATAGATGATACTTTGGAGAGACTCGAACCCCTGAGTTTCTGCTTACCTGCAGTTGGATCTGGGCCCAATTTCACGAAACTGCTTAATTAACACTTAGCAGAAAGTTGTGCTAGCTATAGCTGGAAGAATTTGCTAACCTTAAGTATTATGTCATAGTGGTTCTTGATGTGGTTGTGCATACGGTTGAGCTTTCCATTGTGTTGTCACTACATTAAGCATATTTTTCCCCCAAAGTAAGCGTACCTTTTGACGTGCTTACTGTTTATTGTCCTCCTGAAATACACAGAGCCTCTGTTAGTGGAAAATCATGTGCATAGCTCCTGGTTTGAACTGGCTGTAGCAAGCTTGTTGGTTAGTTAAGCCCCTGCACTTGTGAAAAGCAAATTGCCCTCGTAGTTCGTCAGTGTTCGTCATAGGCTAATGGGAGCCTGTTTTAAGTATTATTTTATTAGGGAGGGGGTGTTGTAGTATACAGCACTTGTAAAGGAAAAGTTCAAGGTTGTGAAAGGCCAAACAAAATTTGTCCGATTTGAATTTCACTGTATTAAAGCCAAACAGTCAACCTTTTGTTTCCCAAAAGTTGCTTTAAAACCGGGTCATTTGTTTGTTATTTCTCAGTAGAAAGCTAAATGCTACTAAAATTGGTTGATAAATTTCAATATTTAGATGACGTTCTAACATTACTGCACCCGTATCTCTTCTAAGGAGGCCAAAAAATTGCATGCCAGGTCATTTTGAATTGGAATCTGCTTGCTGCTCGGCCATGATAAACAATCTGATTTTATTTTAGATCTCGTAAATCCAAGTCCTTGAGCCCACCGCCGAGCCGTTGGAAGCCAGGTCAGAAACCCTGGAAGCCCTCAGATGCAAGCAAGGGGTCTGGGTAAGTCAGAAAAAAGTGATTAGTGGCCCACAGCCATCAAGAAAGAAAATCAGGTAGCCTCTGTCCTGCAGACTTGTACGAGGCTAACATTTCGCCAACAAGCCTTGGCTGTGCTCTGTCATTTGTGTGCTGAGCATTATGAATGTACTGTCCGGTTGTGCATCAAGCACAGTAATGCATCACCGCTGGTAATTGGCAAAATGGTAAAAAGGAATGAATTTAGTACCTATTTTTGCCTTGTGCGATCACCATCCAAAATCAACCTTGTTAGTGTTTTGTGTACCATTCTAGCAGTTCTTGCTGAAGTTTAGTTCCACAATTTCCTCCTGTAGCAAAATATTCTGAACCATGTAAATAGTTTTTTTTTTACTGTGGAGGCAAGAACTTCGAGAAGTGCAGTGTGCCTGTGCAGTGGGCCTGTGCAGTGGGCCTGTGCAGTGGGCCTGTGCAGTGGGCCTGTGCAATGTTGCCTGCTGCCATTTTTCCCCTACAAATGTTGAGTGTTTGATTTTACAGAGTGCGAAATCAGCACCAACAAGAACCACCTCCAGCTCAAAGCATCCCGACACGGACTGCAAAAAGCCCCTCCTCGCCATCTTCTGTGGATGACCGCTCCCCTTCACCAGTCCAATTAAGAAGGTGAGTAGAAAATCCTAACAATCTTCAACCCTTGAAAGTCTGTGAGGATCAAGTATCAAAGAGTCCAGCCATCGGGACGTGTTCCTCCCTCATGCTAGTGGATTTTGGACATAATGCTTAAGTCAGGATTTATAAAGGCAATTTTTTTGCGAAAGAGAGACAATGAGCTAGCTAGATTTTTCGTATTGCTGCAATGCATTCTGTGTCAAAGCGTGACTGTGAAGTTCTTGCATGACAAAAGTTCTGGACCTGCTCGTGATGCATCCACAGGTTTACAGTGTAATCCAGAGCTACTAACATTTTGTGGATGCCTGTTGTCTATGAATGCCTGAAGTGACATTGGTGATATGGTTTGGTTCAGTTCATGTCAACCTGTTTTGCTTATTGGCCTGCAGGCATGGACCGAATCGAAGCCCCTCTCCCAGACACCTGAGCCCCCAGCACGAACTGAGCAGCCCCTCCAGGTCCCCCCTACCCCTGACTCAGCCCAAGTCCTGGCCAACTAGCCCCTCTGAGCGCGTTAAGCTGGCTGCATTTCCACCACCCTCCTCGCCCCCCAGCGCCCACGCCGGATCCAGCTCGCCGAGCAGTGACAGCAGTGACGACTCCTCAGAGGACAGCAACCAGGACCGGGCCAGCACAAGGCGTCAAACAGGTGACCCGTACTCCACCAAGAATCGCAAGAAGTACCAGAGGGCAACGGAGCAGCGCAAGAAGAGCCCGACACTGAAGGAGAGGTTCAAGTGGCAGCCACCCTCGGAGGACGAGATGGAGGCGGGCGGAGGCGGGGCCGATGGTGGCCAAGCTGGGCGGAGTCCACGAGTATCGGCCCAAGCTGAGGGATCTGGGCAAGCCCAAACAGCTACTCACCAGGTTGGTGGAGTATAGATGACATTTAGCACTGTGTTCATTACTACCAGAAACATATCACTCATGACTGAAACTGAAGGCCAACTAATGATTTGAACTTGTGCTAAAAAAAGTAACAATTACTCAGAACTTGTCTCAGCTGTTGGACTTGGATGCAGCTGGAAAATGTCAAACATTTTCCATTCCAAAATAAAAAAAAGACCTGTCTTTTTAAATGAGTGGAACTCATGAAGAGGTTGACAACGTTTAGTAGTGACCTCACTGAAATCAGTTGTCCATCTTGTTTCTCATTGTGATTTGTAATGCCTTAATTGTACAGGTACATGAAGAGATGGAGGCAAACAGTTCTGCAAATGAAGATGATGATGAAGGCTTGAAGAATTTAGAACAGAAACGCAACGATCTGGAGCTGCGCCTGGCAGCCTTGACCTCCCAGAATCGCAAGATCCAGGAAATGATGGGTGGCAGAGGTAAGGAGTCAGGCGGGGAAGATGACAACAAAGGTCCCTCTGGGGACTTGGCAGGAGCTGAGTCACTTGAAACCCTACCACCATCAATGCCCACTGGATTTAAGGAGGCTCGCAGCGACAGCACCTCGCCGCCCAGCCAGGATCCTGAGGCTAGGGTCCAGAGGGATAAGAGCCCCAAGCCCCAGCACTCTGAGGAGAGGCCTTCGTCCAAGGTTCAGCGCAAGCGTGGCCACTCTGGCAGCCGTAGCCGCAGTCGTAGTGGCAGCCCACCCAAGAGACGGCCGCGCAGCAGAAGTCGCTCCCACAGCCCAGTCAGGGGGCGGCATGGTAGCCCGCCAGGCAGACGCCCTGCGGACAGGAAGAGGTCGGCATCGCCTCCTCCTAGGAGGTCAGCCAGGTCGCGCTCAAGGTCGCCCAGGAGGCGCTCCAGGTCTCCCATCAAGGCAACCAGGAGGTCGCCTCCGAGACCGGCCAGGAAGCGGTCAAGATCCTCCAGGTCATCATCCAGAAGTAGGTCTCCCTCGCCAAGGAAGAGGTCGAGATCACCCAGACGATTGCCTCTCAAGAGGTCCTACCGCAGGTCCCCGCCAAGGAAGTCACGGAGGTCAAGGTATGGGGTAGCAATCAAGCCAACTCAATCTGTTATATTGCCTTCACAAATTAACTCCACCTACAGTGTAACTGTCACTACACACGTGTTACTATACTACGTGTAATTATGTGCATTGACGTTACCGTGCTGGCTCAGTGCCTACATGCACCAGCCGGAGAAATGTTTCCACGGTGCTATGTGGACAAAAGCCTGGAAAAGCCGTACATGAGATGTAATTGAAGCGATGACAATACGCTCCTGTCACGAAAGCTACATGTAGCCATGGCGCTCGGCAGGAACGGGTCTCAAAAGTGTTTTTTAAACCAAAAATATTGCTGAATCTGGATTTATGTGGCAAAGATGTCTATAATGGGATCCAAGTAAACAGACTAGGGCCAGATTTCTTATTTTCTTCCACCGTTGGGGTTGCTTTTTAAAATTTTGACACAGAATGTAGCATTGGCCTCTTATGCAATGGAGGATTTTGGAGAATTAAGAAAGGTTCTTAGAATACCAAGAGAATTGGGTTAAAATATTTAAAGTGTATAAATTTAGAGATGAATAAGATTTGTCAATTCACTGCAAGGACGCTGTCAATTCGGTAACTTTGCGTCCTTGTTGTCTGTCACTCTGCCATCAATATCAAGCATCATAGACCAGCCAGTCTCTTATGACGGCGTTGTGATGTGGTGACGTTTTGAGGGCAAATGAAATCTACACATGCTCATTGTAGTCAGGTATAAAACTCTAGTACAAAAAGAGAGAATCCCACGGAGCTGTGAACCTACCACTTGGCTTCTCAGATATCTACATCTGCCATCTTTAAACGTGATCCCCTGCAAATGACAAGAAGTAACTTAATTTTGCACCCTGCTATGAAGCTGCAGATGTTGAGCATATCTGCATATTAGAATCTACCTTTAATTTGTGGTTTGTCTTCATCAGTTCTTCCTCCTCACGAAGTCGGTCGCCGCGCCCTCGACGTCGCAAGCGTCCGGCCATCTCCCCAAGGAGGAGCAGGAGTCGCTCTCGCAGCCGTGGCAGGACAGCTCGTGACCGCAGGCAAGTGTTACAGGGAATCCAGGAGCAATCCAATATAAACAGTCGACTCGCATTGTTACAAAATCAGCTGGACCCTGTGAAAATGTTTGTTGTGTCTGAAATTCGTGCGGTGTGCCGGCTTCCGGTCTTGGGTTCAGATCCTACTGTGTGGACAATACTCTGCCGACAGTGCATGTACATGAATGTACATGATGTCCGAAAAATGTTAAGAGTGCTGTCTAAGGACTGATCCATCAAATATAATGTGAATATTTGTTATAAACTTTCAATGTTATTTTATGAAAATGAGTTGTATGTGGGACAAATGAAACAAAACACCAATACTGGTCTGTCATACGTCATGCCCGAGGACGAAGTCAACGTAACAACAGCGAGAATGCCAAGACTGATGCTCAAGTGGTCTGTAATCTTTTCTACCCAAACTGTGCCACAGAGAGATTTCTTATTGACCATTCATTTTGTAATGTTCAGTGTGTGATCTTTGTTTTCTTTTGGGCATTCTTTGAAATATCAAATAATCATGAAAAAGCATGAATGCATGATTGTTAACGTGTCTGAACTCACATGAAGCCCGCAATGAGAATTTTGTCCGAGTGGTGCAGTGATCACAGACACGTACCGTACTTTGCAATTGGACAGTTACGTCTAGCAAAGCATTCATCATACAAGTGCACAAGAGACTGGCACGGAGACGCGCGAGTCTCTTACCCAAAATCTTTGTGAAATGAATAATTTAGAGTTTGGGCAATCAGTTTCTTGCAGGTGCCCAAGTTCCTTTCAGGTGCCTAAGTTCCTTGCAAGTACCTAATTAGGAGTTAATTAAGGGAATGAATAGATGCTTGGCCAGTCTTAAACATGCATTTAAGACCAGAATTTTGTAATAAGCAAGTTTGTAATAACGAGAGTCCACTGTACATGTATTCAGTAGAACCATAATGTCGAGTGCCGTTTCATATGGCATGCCATCCATCACTGTGCCTAAATTTTACCCCTAGTTGGAAACAACACCCCCAGGGATTTAGACCTTGCTGTGCCACACCATCCAAAGCATTTCAACATTTCCAAGTTTGCACTGGCTTCCAGAGAGCGAGGGTTCCAAAGCATGTATTTTGACCAAACATCCTAAGCTTTCAAAATGGGAGAACCTTCATCTCCTTTTTGTGTTCATTCAGGGCGTTTGACAGAGGCTCAGGCATATTTTGATACCTCTCTACATGAATTACTCTTGCTACCTCTCTACATGAATTATTCTTGCTATCACAAGATGGCAAATCATAATTTACTGACTATTGCATGGCAGTACGCAACACGCAACATGACTCTTTAGAAATCACTGCATCTACTTTGCACTTGATACAGCCTGCCAGTTTAGATCTGCAGGGCTCTAGTGTTTCGTCACAGCATGAAATTCTTAGTCCGCTGTGTACCGACTTTTTGCTGGCATGTACATTTTGAGTTCATCTCTGGCGATTTGCAGCCACCTTACATCTCCTTTTTGCTTCCACCAGCAGACGCAGCCCAAGTAGGGAAAGGCGCAGACCATCACCAAGGCGCCCCTCACCGTGGCGACGTCGGAGGAGCCGTTCTCCGTCACCTAGGCGCAGACGGTCTCGATCTGTCAGCCGGACCAGAAGGTAAGAAGATGGATTGTGCTAATGTCCAGCCTGAAAGAAGTCTCAACGAATGTATGGTAGTTCCAGTGTAGTGTTTTAATCGTCACAGTGTCTTGGCCAGATGAAATGACATTTTCATCTGAATATGCACAAACATGCAGTGTCTTTCAGGTAGCTCGGGCTCAGATTGCATACAACGGCATTCAAATACAGTATTTCAACATCAGCAGTGGTTAGGGGAGGAGGGGTTCTTATGCAAAATGAAAGGAGTTTGATTGGGTGAAAGAACTTTACAGGATATTTTTGTTCAACCATCCATTGTTTAGTTCTGTGGTTTTTATTTTCATCAGATTTTTATTTTTGGCTATAACTGGGGGAAAATGGAATTTTGTAGTACTTCTTTACCCCTGGCTGCCCCCCACCCCCCCTGGGTAAAAAATATGAGAACTGTAAAATAAACTATGGATGCGCGCTAATGGTTAAGTGAGCCCTTTTCATTTTTGGTTATTTTCATTGAAAATACTCTTTAATGGTTCCTTTATAACCCCTGCAGACGAAGCCGAAGTCCCCTGCGCCGTCGTCGGTCCCGTTCGTGGACAAAGTCGCGATCCCGCTCCCGATCCCGTGGGCGCAGGCCGAGATCCCCACCTCGCCGCAACAGGAACCGCCGACCTCGCCGTTCCTACTCCCGCTCGGCATCGAGGTCTAGCACCAGCCGTTCTAGGAGCCGGAGTGCCTCCAGCCGGAGCAGCAGCCGATCCAGGTCGCACAGTCGCAGCAGCAGAAGCTATTCCAGATCCAGTGGGTGAACTCATTGTTTGTCCAGATCCTTTGTGTTGTCTCCAAGAGTAGTTGACAGATAGAAAATTAAGAATTTGACTAACTTGTCATTAATTTCAAGTGATTGTTTGGTCTACCAATGTATATTCTTTCATTTAGGTTTTTTTGGGGGGGGTTGTCACAACCTTCTTGTGGTGGAGAACCATGTCTGGGTCTTTTAGAGAGACAGGGGTGCCTTTTATGTAGTGAATTTTAGTGCTGCAATCTTTGTCTGGTTTGTCTGAGCAAGGCTTAAAAAAAAGGAAGTCAATTCATAAAGCTGATTTTAGATATTTCAAGTTTAATTGATCCTGCTTTTGTTACAAGTGACTGACAGAAGGGAATTTTATTCCCTCAAGAGATATACTTCAGAAGATCATGGAGTTCCTTTTTTTTGGTCTTGTACTTCATTACTATTTAAAAACTGGGATTTATTCTGCAGCTTCACTGTTAGTTAGTTTAGTAGAGGGTGTCGTACTTAAAAGCAGAAATATCGACCATTGTGAAAGGGTAGAGTGCCGTAGCATATTGTTTCTTCAGTGTATTAAATATTTTAATGTCCAAAAGTAAAGTTCAGTCCAACAGTAATCCGATCATTTAAGACTTACAGCATAATTGTGTAACTTCTTGCTGGTGAACTTGTAATTTGTAAAAATTTCCCTTCTTAAAGTACACCAAAAAAAACATGAAATTGTTTTGCGCTTGGATATGTGTTGTGACAGTTGCAAGAACATGCACGTCTTGGCTGTATTGTTCACATTGGCATCATACCGTATTGGTTGTTGTCTTTGTTCAGTATGAAGTGGACCCTGTTGAGTGATTATTTTTTAATGCTGGGAAAGAGTTTTTGATGTGTTTGTAAATTTGGTGACTGATTTCTTGCATTTCTTATTGGTTTTTAAAAATGGAGTGAGTTGACAGCTTATATGGAATGTCTCGTTGAGCAATGTAGATTTTTCAAATATTTACCACAACAGCACATTTGTAAGTTCTTCCCATGAAGTTTTATTTTTTGGTGTGTTTTTGACATCCCATTTCACTATCAAAAAGTCTTTTTGGGAAAACCTTAATTTACTTGTTGAAACCTTGCCATAGTTCACTTGGCACTAAATGCTATTATTCTGGGCAACCAGGATTACTAGGAAAATATCTTTCTGGCATCTGAATAAATGTGGCTTAAAGTAGTGCACTGATTTGTACAGAGGTGCAGTTTTAAATCTGGGTTTTACAATTCTTTGGGATTTCCAGTTTCCTGTACCTTGTAGGAATTCCTAAGCTCTGTACTTTAACTGTGTAATGGTTTTTGTTGTAGAATTGTAAACTTTGAAGCACAGGTTCACTGCAAAGACACAACGGTTACAAGAAACATTAAATGTATACAAAACTAAGGGCAGTATTGGGTGTTTGGTATTTGACATAGTTGGTAATGCCCTAGTACTGCATTTGTAAACCACTGTACTTGTCCAATTAACAGGAAATGATGCATAGATGAATTGTTCCTTTGTTTTGAAAGACATGAACCTGTATTGGTAAAGTTTGTTCCATGAATGTTAACTTAAAGTGGTAACATTCCCTGTTTACTTTTAGTTATCTGTGCGTTTATTGGTGTTGTTGTCTATGGCTAGTATTTAAACCACATACATTTATTAAAGCTAGTGGTTATGCTCATTTTGAAACGACATACTCAAGAACTGTCCAATTGCTAGAATAGTGGAAATCGTCTGCCGTCTTTTTTTGACACATTAAAAAGGAAGGATACCACAATCGAGTGAAAGAGCTTGAAGTGTCTTGTAATCTTTCTGGATGCATTTCACAAACACTAAAATTTACATTTTTTTTGAATTTTCAAAATGAGTCTGATCTTTCTTGAAAAAGGAAGAACCCTTGTTCTTCAATCCTTTAAACCACAAGCTGTGTTTTTAACTACCAGCTAGTTTTTGACGACCGGATAGTATTCAACCACAAATGTCTTCTAAATCATCAGCTACTTTTCTGACCATCAGCTGCTCTAAGACCGCCCGCCAGCCACTGACAGCGTAAATGAATAAAATTGAAATATTCACCATTTAAAAAGTTTTGCTGCAAGATGAAACCTTGTGCCTTGCCGGTCTCAACCAACCACAATGATATTTGGCACTGCATTTTCTAGATGCCCTGAGGTATTCATCACGAATTCTTTCTGTGAGCTAAGTGGTGTTGAACAAAGTCAACTAATTTACAAATATGTACAGCCAGCTATTTGTATCCCTAGGGGATACAGGAAAAGAAAAAAAAAGCATAACCATTGAAATCCTCCTTTATAATTTAGATACGTACAGGGATGCTCACTGGAAGTTACTGCAGCATGCATTGCACTTCGGGAGCTAGGGTGTAGATTCATAAAATCTTGGGTACTGCAATACTGAAGATGGGTCAAGTCTCAGGAATGATGCAGTTGCAATAGCTGTGTACCACATTTAGAGAGCAAACCATGATACAAACCGCACAAAGAATCCTTCCAAAAAATGAATAAATTTTCCTTGAAGATCTCACTGAAGTTTACCAGGATACTGAATATTGGATTGAGAAACGTGCGACACTTTATTCAGTGGAATCAAAATGTAAACAGGTGAGGTTGAACCTCTGACCTGAATTTTCATCAATCAATCACTTTTACAAAAAATAATTTGACACACTGTTTAGGACTGCATCTACAGCTTTGCTGTATCTTTTGCCTCCGTATGGACACTTACCTTTTTTTAATTTTTTCCCCTTAAATTGGTGTTTCGTTCCACTGCCAAAACTCAACAGAGGGCAGAAGCAATACCCTCTACTTCTGGACTGCAATTTTTACAACCAGCGCTTGATGCTGCGTAGTTCATAACTAGCTTTGGCAAGATACAAGACAAGCGAAGTGAGATAGAAAATGGACTCAGGTTCATCCCCCCCAATTAAAAGGGTGGGGCTCATTCTGCACCGGTAGATGACGTGGGAGGTTCCTCCTCTTCGCCCCCTCCAGGGGGCGCAGGCTTCAGGCCCCTGATGGAGATGTCGTACACTACCTCCTCCACCTTCTTGATGTCATACTTCAGTCCATCGAAGCGCTTCCGCAGCGAGTCATTCTTCAGGTTGAGAAGACGGAAGCCGGCGTTCAGCTCCTGGATGAAATTGGAGATGCGGACGGGTCTGTCGTACTCGCCAGCCGTAACACTGTTGATGGCAAGTCGAGACTGCAATGAAGAAATTTGCAAAAAAATAGTTCAAATTTTCAAATGCAGGTAACAGCAACACTGCAAGCAAATGTTAACTGATTTATACCAAGAGTTTCTCATCCAGCAGGGGTGCAGCGGTCAACCCCCTCCCCCAAAAACCAAAAACTTATAAAGCTTGACCCCAACAGTTGTATAAAATTTGCATAAATGAACCTCTTGCCACATTTGAGAAAAACAGGCAAAACTTTCCCAAACGTTTTCTAAAAACAGTAATCATTAATGCCCAAAATTCAGAAAATCAGGCTCTCAATATTTATTATTTTATATCCAGATCTACATCCAGTGGCAAGTGGGAAAAAAAAGCTAAAACTTGATTGTGGTACGAATGACACTTCTATCAATTGGCATACCAGTTCACTGGCCAACTGTAACAAGCCTTGCAGAAAGTCCTCCAAGTCCAAATGGAAACCATCCTCCCTTCTCACTGAAACTGTAAAAAATAGGGCGAAAGGTCATACCCATCATATCCACCACCTCAATGTTATTAGCCTGGACCCACTAATTTCCTACAAAATCTACTGGACAGTTTGGGAGGCTTATACAGGATTGGGAAAGGCAGACCAAAGCCTCTCTTGCTTTATGAGGAGCAAAAGGCTCTCTGAAAGTTTGTTTGCAGAAGATATCCCATTGGTTTCCATGCATAGCATGAGATTTGGGAGGAACAACGGTGGCTCCCAACGTCAATAACCAGGATGAAAAGCTTTAAAAAGGTCAAAGTAGGCTACAATAACAACAGACTTTGATAGCAGGTAGCCGCTGAAGATGAAAACTTGAGCATGATGTAATGTTTAAAACCTGCATGTCTGAAGATTTGAAAAAGGCAGCTCAATTGAAGTTGCGCAGAAGTGGAGATCATTATGTGAAAGATACAAGACAATTGAGTCTTTTTATGAGTGATACACACTCTATATTTGCACATACTGACAACATCAACCAAAATCAACCAAATGATTTCAGAAATATCAGTAATTTTGGAAAATGTTGCAGGAATTCCTCCCATTTGGGTCACATGACCTTGGAGGCTACCAAACCCTAATATTGCTCAAAGAAGTTGGAGTCTTTTGGTATAAAAACCAGAATAGAGTCACGGAAGACCATTCTACCAATTACCACCAATACACTTATTACATGAAAGTTGGTTAATACATCAACTGCATGGATAGGCACACTTAGTGACCTTGAAACTACAATGACTTCCAATCTCAAGTTGTCACCCTAATCACACGTGCAGAGAGATTAATGACCCTGAGATCACCTTTTACACTTTAGGAACCTTGCAGCTTGTGAGACCTGAGACAGTGCTGCAGTGCAGCAAGTTGGTTTAATTCTCTGAATCATGTACAAGGCCATGCTACCCACCTCCCATCAAGTGAGCAACCTCTTCCCTGGTAACCAGCCTCTCTGCCTCCAGGTACACAATAAGAGCTACGAGGAAAGACAGGCGCTGACTCACAAAGCGCCAGTGATCATGGAATCTGAAAACAAAACCCCAAAAAACCACACACACGAGGAAATTAAATTTAGGGAAATGAAATAAAATGAAACGTTCTACATAAGGTACAATTTTTCTTAGATGTGTTTTCAGGCACAACTTTGTATTCAAAGACCTGTTTTAGTTGACTTCTGTTAGAAGTCAAGTTTTCTTCCCAGAACAAAATGCACAACAGATTCTACTAAAAGACATATATGTCATTTGAACAGAAAACTACAAACCAGAAAAGGCACAGACAACGTTCTGATTTCAAATCTTTATGATCTTTTAAATGGATGTCACCTATGGCAGAGCAACACAAATGTAAATCACTCTTAATATATGTACGTGCTGTGAATGAGGAACAACAAAGTAAACATGAGAGATATTCATAGATACAAAATGAAGTATGAGTCTCTTTTCAAGAAGCAGAGATAAATGGAACAGCTCATTTTTATGGAGTGTCACACTGGTGCCTGAAAGAAACTATTGGCTCAGCTTTTCAATGCTGTGTTGGGGCGGGGGCTTTGGAAACCTCACATATTAAAACTAGGCTTGAAGAAGAACAGAGCTGTTTTTTAATACAGTGAGTCTGAAGTTTCAGAACTTTTGTTCAGTTTCATAAATGTGTTCATTATTAAATGAAAATGTGAACAGCACCTGTAATACTGGTCAGCTGGCACCTTCTTTTGGAGTTCAGCAAACTGACTCTGTGTCGTCTCCAGTAACTTCCTTGCCTTTTGACACAGAACAGGGGCTGCAGACACAAACAGAGTAGACTTTAAAGAGAACTTTTAAAAGATCGAAAGTTGAGATCCCTTCTGACGGACTGCAAAGAAGGCTTTCCAATCTCAAGCAAAACACTTTCCATATCTTGGTTCAAATTCTAATGAATTCTAATGAATGAAGGTGAGTATTTTAATTCATTTCTGAGATCCCATAATAAGCTGTGTTTTACAAGAAACCCGACACATTGTCTTCATATGTCCGTCCAAAATACCGGGTGCAGCAGAAATACTATATGGCTTCACACAGCACTGTTTCAGCAAATCTTCCTGATAGAGAACACGCAGTTTTGAGCCTTGGATGGGAAGATATTTCAATCCTGGAGTGAAATCTTGGGTTCAGTTCACATTTTAACAGCCAACATACAGTACATCAAGTGCATAACTTCCATTGCCAGAGAATCATAGCCAAATTTACATACTGCTAAACTACGGCTAAAAAGGTCAAAATAATGGAAGTACTGCATTAGGGGCAAAAGGCTGACATACTGTAGTGATTGTGCACGGCTCAAATCACGGTAAATTGACCACATCTGCATTGATAACCACATCTTGCAACTGGGCAGTTGCAAGAGACCCAATTCTTGTGTATTTCTTGTCACTACATGGCATGCCATGACAGATCAAAAATTTCTCCAGTTCATGGAGTCACACTGATTGCACTCCATTAATGTCAACTATATCACAAGGACACCTACCATGTTACTAGTTCCTGATGTCAATCAACAAGCCAGAAATACACATGGGGGGAGGGGTTGGAAACTAAATGTTGATGGGGGGAGCATCTAATTGTGAATTGCTTCCATTTCAAATACAATTCTTCCTTTTTGCTGACACTGACAGATTTCTCCACACCTTCTTTGAGTCCTGCTGCCTGGTGTATACCCTCCAGCGTGGTCATTACTTCCCTTGCTGTCTGCTCCATGGCACGCACTGCCACCCGGATTTCCTGAGAGGAATGAAAAATGTTGGAATTATAGTGTGATTATCTAAGACATTCAAAGGGGGGGGGGGGGGAATGCAGAGGCTACACATATTAGCCAGGTTTATCTGGAACACAAGAATTGGCTCTCAGTTCCAATGCAGGTATGTCACAGAATTTGCATAATTCATAATTTAATAACTGCAATCTCCACATCAGTTTCATTAGGCGAGCATTTTTTACAAGTTGGTGCTCAAATTTTTAAAGACAAATTTTAGAGGAGGACAGACATTATTGACTTGAAGGATCTTGAATTTGCAGGGTAGAATACAAAAAATTCCCCCCCCCCAAAAAAAAGGGGTAGCCCTTACCATCAGTGTTAGTTGCCAAGGACCAAACATCACTAACTTGAAATCGGGGACTTTGCTGTTGGTTGGACAGCGGAGAAATAACAAATTTTTTTTTACATTTACCTCAGTAAATTGTTGGTCAGCGGATCCGAGATTTCTCAAAATAAAAAAATTTTCCCGTTCTCAATCTGGAAGGTCGGCAAATCTGAGCACCATCTTAAAAAACTCTTGCCTTAGTCAATCCACATCGCAAGGGAAACGATTCAATATATGGGCACCACTTATTTTTCCCTGCAGTAACCTATTAACCATTTGAGAACAACAAAATGTCCTTAAAAGTCAAATGTAAAAAACAGAATTTTTCATAACTCTCATGGCTTAATGGCGTTTGTGCACTAGGGTGTCCCGTGGCGTCCGTATAGGGCCTACCCCTATAACTGTGGGGTTCGACGTCTGCTGCGAGGCAGATGTCAAGCCCCTTTAGCACCCTATTCTAAATAACGAAACAAAGGCACTTTTATGAAACAACTCATAAGTCGGCATTGATGTCCTCTTTCATATCAGACAGATTGTGTGACAGGACAGAGCTTTGTTTTTGAGGAAAATTATGGGGTAATTAAAACAGCAGTGTACATGACGCAACAAAGACCTGTCAACGAAGATGAATTAAAAATGTAGTCTGGTTCCTTGACCTGTATAAAGATTTCTTAAAATTTTGATGAAATTTATTATATTCACAATGGCCCAGTCAGGTAACCAGATGTGAAACAAAATGGCGTGGTCTGACTAAGGGGTTGTCATTCACAAAATGTGGGGAAGAAAACATGTTGTTTTTCAAAATTATTTTGCATACGCAAATGTACATGTAAGCATAGTTAAATAGGGCAACTTTAATAACATATTTATCACTCAAATGGTAATTAGACAATTGGAGCTGAAGAATGCTTCAGGTTATTTTTTATATGATGCAGTAGCGAGCCAGAAAAGCGCGAGCGACGAACCCCATGCTAGCAAGCAGAGTCTTGAGTCTGATTTGGTGTTGGAATATTTTCCTACCCTTCTGATTTTGAATTTTGTTCTGGTAAGTTTCAAGATTCTGTGCTTGTGAGAGGCTCGGGATAAGAGCAGACATTATTTCCATTCTGTATGAGTAAGGAGTCTTCTCCTGTGACAGTAAATAAATTTAAGTATGCTATTTGATTAAATTTGAATTTACGCCTGCAATAAGTAGGTGATTACAGTATAGGGTACTTTGTATAAAATTAATGATTCCTTTATATCAAAGATTGCATTTAGTAAATATTGACAGGATGAAGAATCCTATTCATTGAAATTTTGCATTACGGTTACTCAAGTTCTACATTAAATTCACCTTTGATTTAAGTATGAATGGTTAATTGTTTTTCATCGTATTTCAGATTTGTGGAGAAGTTGACTCAAATCTTTGCTGATTAATGAAGTTTTATTGATGTGGATCGTTAGAAATGATGAGATCTTTTACAGTAAATTAGTTGAGTTTAGTCACAAGTTAACATGCAGATGCACGTAATTCGCTGGTAAATGTTTTGCTTAGATGGCCAACTAGAGTGGGGCTTGTGCTTGACTGTCCCAGAGGTTGTCATACTGTTAAGGACTGGGGAACTGATCCACCAAGTCACAGGGTCAACGCACCTACATGTAGTACCCAAGTAGCGGCCACACCATACCCAGCTTGATGACTGGGGAACTCCGCAAGCGAGATCCAGCCTTCAACTGTACGTGGTAGACCGTAAATGTTTCATTGGCGGCTGTTTCCTGATAGCAGGATTAGAAAGTTTTCTTGGAGGTAGGCTCATAAACGTTACGTGAGCAATCCTCAAAGACAACTTAATCGCACATACAAGTCAGTCACAGTGTGCCGAGTAAAGGTTGTACTACCAAAATAAGTAAATAGCTTGTAATTTAATACCGACGTGGCATTTGATTGGGAATTGTATTTTTGGGTTCTCGCAGCCTGTGTATCTAAGTTGCCATAAACAAGTTGAAATTCATAATTTGACAATTGGAAGACTACATGTACCTTGTAAATTTGTAGTTCTAAACTTTAACTAGTGCTGATTCATGTTATTTGATTGAGTCTGGTGTTATGATTTTGATTGAATGAAAAATTAATTACTGTTGTGATTTCATTTTGTTTGCAAATATTGTATTAAGCAGTGTGCACTGATTTGTTAAATGTATTTATTCATTTGACATGAGCTGTCTTGATATTGTATTCAAATACAGAGTACAAGTCAGACCATATTGAACCTTAAATTTCTCATTCCTCAATCAAGCATGCAAACTAAATACAGGTAGGCTCTCACCCTTCTTAAAGAAAATGATTTTCTTTGCAGGGTGGTTTGACTCCAGGGGGTCATTCTGACAGTCTGTATTGTGTCTGTATTTTTTGAAAGTTTGGCGAAACTTTTGAATGGGGTCTTCGAGTTTTATGAAAAATTTTCACAATCCGAATGCTGGCGCCACTGTTGAGAAATGAAATTTTTATGATGTAATGTAAGAGAAAACATTGAAACTGGTATCCGTGGCACAACAGGTTCCACTACAAACCTATATGTACATTATGTACATTATATGTACATTAACATGGAGCTACATGTGTGTGCACTGCTCACCAGGATTGATCTTTGTGCCAGGTGTACTAGTCACATTGTCTCTTTTCCATCAAGAGTTTGTGCTCCTTTGCTCATGATTTAAAATAATGCTGAAATCATTATTGGTGGTTTTATAAATTCTGCAAAAAAATCGGTACTGAAATTCTTCGAGTTTCCGAATAATGAGAACATTCTTCAAGTTGGTGCTGTTGTCCTCGGCTTCGTGACCTCGGCTTCTTGTCCTTGGCTTCATGTGCTACAGGGGATGCAAGCCTAAAGTGCATGCACTGTGGTTTCCTCTCTACAGTAATACTTCACAAAAATCACAAAATCGTGTCTCGCAAAGGAGATATTGATATGCGCCACTTTTACTAGACTTGGCTCTTCCAAATAAGATTCAATACGAGAAAAGTTAGCATCATTGGAGCTGGTCTTAAATCCTGTCTGGCGATGCATGCGATGCATGCATGCTTGTTGGGCACATGTACTCGTAATAAATGTACATACGTGTACATGTACATCTACTGGGGCAGCCATCTTGGATGTGCCCAAACTCGCGTCGAAAGCACCATAGTAAGACAAGTCATCTTCGGGCCTGGAAATTGACACTAAAATTCCTTTTTCTTCGCAAAAAACAACATTATATGAGTTAATCCTTTATTTAAGAAATGTTAGCTATGCAAACTACATTGTTTACATGCTACAAATTCAACTCCAAAGCTGTTCATATTGTTTTCTCTGACCGTCAGGCAGAAGATCTTAGAGTAATTAGATTAGTGATGTTTATCATTCATCAATCTAGGCTTACATGTACATACTAAAATTTTGACATTTCAAGCTGATTTGATACATGTGTAGTGGTAATGTTGTATGTTAATGACCGCGGGCGTGCTGCATGTGGTGCACCTAATAGTAAGAACAGGGTGCTAAAGGTAATAAAAACCTACTTCTGGCAGTAGCATCTGTATACGGAATTCTTTCTCATAGAGATTAGGGCCTACATGTACTTTGTCTTTGTGGACCAGGCCCAACCTAGAGACATGCATAAATGAGTGAGGGTGCTGTTTATTTGGGAACTCATTTACTTAACAGGAAATTGTGTTTAAAATTCATCTTTTTCTGCAAGCTGTAGCTCCTCTTTTAATTTCAAATTTCATTTTTTTTAATTCCAAGTGAAAACAGCATCTAATTCATTGAAATAAAGCATGAATAAGAAAGATTTTACAAAAGTATGAATTTTGAACTTTTCAGTCAAAACCAACTTACTTTTGTGTACAAAATAATCACAGTTTGCTCTACACGTCAAAAAACATCTCAAAGCATCCCTGCTTCAAATCACTTTTTCTTTGCTTTGCAGAGTTCGATGGAATTGACACATCAAAATATTTCTTATGACGTCCTCTCCAAGAACACTTCAAAAATAAAACAGAAAGAAAATTTGAAACATTTATTAGCCTCCTCACCCAACCACTTTGGAAATTGTTTCCAGCTATTTATGTGCAATGTTGCAAATACAAGGAATGCAAAAAACATAAAATATGTATTCATCACTGATCGTCCTTTGGCAACAGAGGGCCTGCGTGGAGCGCCCTCACAGAGGACAGCTCTTTGTTCCTGTGTGACATGCTGGAATAGACACTATGGCCATGGAGGTAGAATCACATGTGATTCTACCTCCATGCTATGGCTGAGTTCAGGCGGCCTGTTCTTGACATGGGTTTCTTGTTCTTGCACTCGAACGGCGGGAACATGACTCAAGAACACTGTTCTCGGAACAGGATCACACACTGCCTCCTCGTCAGGGTTTTACAGAAACACAAGGAAAAAGTGCCTACCTCCCTGACGTCTTGATCATTCGTGAGGTACTCGTTGAATTCAGAGAAGATACTATTTACTGGAGGCGATTCCGCCATTTTGAACAAAACTTTGAGCAAAACCTAAAAACAATCCGATATTTAACTCTCAAATTACAGGTTAGGCGCTTGCAATGTACATGTGCACCAATATACACGCCAATAAAGCACACAAATTCACGAGCTACCAATGGAGTGGCATCCATTTCAGGAGAGCTAGTACCGAGCGTATACGTGAACGTTGCCAGAACCAGACTAGTGCACGTGAGGTCTAGAAAGGTCGAAGTTCATAAGTCATAAACTTGCGTTACTGGTGTCATGGAAATTAGTTCGGCGTAAACGTATTTGTATTTTTGCACCCAAATTTCATCAAGTGAATTGTGATGAATTTTAAAAGGGATGAGCAGATGAGAGCTAACATTACCAAGACAGGTGACCGACAGGTGAGCTGAAATCAGTAGAAATCTAAAGCAAACCGTACGACTAGTAGTAGTAGTAGGACACATTGTTTGGCTTGGCCTTGACTGTACTGTACCCCCAGAACTGTTACTGTGGGGTCCAACGTCCGCTTCACTCCCGGAGAGCTCCTTCGTGGGAGCGGAGTGGACATCGGACCCCACAGCTCTGGGGGTACCTGGACTGGATGTGCGATGTAACGTTCAGTGCTTTTGCCTGCGTTTCAGCTAAATGGTTAAAAAAAGAGACGACACAGACATCGTAAGACTCGTCTGAAAAATGTTTATTTTCAAAGTAGACTTGGGACTAAATGCTTTGTATTTTACCTGTCAAAATTTACATTAACCCTCCTATGCTAAGATGCATTCTTCATGCAGTTGTCATATTAGTCAAAATCAGTCAAATTTCCCATACGTGTCTGTGTATTGGGGGAAATCAATTTTTGACTGTTTTTGATGATTAAAACAGTAGGAGGGTTAAGTAGGCCTAATAAACATGATGATAAACCACTGCAGGAGAAAATTACTGATGTTGCTATGTTTATATGGAACTAGTTAACTTACCAAAGAAACTTCAAAAGGTAAAGAATGCACTCTTGACATTATCATTTTCACCACAATCACAAGGGGTACGGAGAGAATGCAGTAGGAAGTGAATAGCATTGGAGAATTAAAGATTTATTTTTCAAAATGAAAAAAAAAAACGGTGTCTATTATTTGGTAACAAAATAGGGCCTAGGTGTGTTATTTGTACATGTACACACTCAAAGCAGCTGGTGCATGTATACGGCTGACAGTTTGACTTAAAGATTGCTTTTCCTTCCAGTTAATTTTTTTTCTCTCACTTTTTGTGGTATTTGATCTCACTGAATCTTGGGGAATAAGTCGCAAATTAAGATCAAATAGCATTTGGACCTCCACAATCCTCCTTAGGACTAGAGGACGGACCCACCCCCTGAATTTTAAGAAGGTAGAGTAGATCACCACCCAGGCACACACATTTTGTTTCGGCCACTATGGGAACTTGGTATTTTCAGCCTTTAAAATTACATGTACGATTTGCAACAGGCTGGCAATGTTACAGCCCTTGCTGCCGTGGCCTTCCAAGACCATCTCATTCGCAACCTGTCTCTGGCCGACCCACTGAAGAAGAAGCCGATCCATCATGGGCGGCCCAAGAAGCAGCTGAAGGATGTCAAGCCAGTGGTGGATACAGGCCAGAGGCAGGGAGTGGGCAGGAGGAAAGGTGATGCTCTCTCCAAAGGGAAGATGGAAGACAAGGAGTATGTGCTGGACCATAGGCCACCACCACTTACACTTGGTGAGACCATCAACTAGTGATGGCAAGAGTCAGTCAAGTTCCCCCAAGATTAGATTCAAAAACTTAAACTTGTATGTCGTACTTTAACATTCACCAATTTCCCATGGGACATAATCATCTACAGGTATATGGGGCTGCCCAGACCATACTACGAACTTCATCTACACTGTTTCAGACTCTTAAAGTTGCACTCTACTCTCTCCGAAGTCAATCAAATTTGCCAAGCTATTTATACTGTTGAAAGGTTAAAGGTAAAAGCTCGAGTTATTTAATGCTAACTGGAGGTGAATAATCACTGTTCAATTTTTGGGTCAGGTCAAAATTTTCTCTCATGTGATAGACGGCTGGTCAACAAGTTGATTTGTGTATTGATAACGCACATTAGTTCAATTTCTTCTTACTTACAGAATCATTAACAGTTTACACTCTCTGCTGTGTTCTCCTTACTCTTTTAGCTCAAAAGCTCGGCCTGATTGAGGCACCAGAGCAGCAGCTCTCTGACCTGGACTGGAAAGACGCCAAAGAGAAATCTAATCGTCGTGACGATTCCATGCTCCCTTGTGTCATTTGTAAGGAAGAATTTGGCTTACAGCAACAGGTACAAACATCCAAGTAATGTCCCTGATCTCAAAAAGACCTACCTTTTCCCCTTAGAAAAGTTGACTCCTGGTCTGGTGTTTGTTTATGTCATTCTCATGTTCTCTTGAGAAGCAGAAGGAAAAAGTTTGAACTTGTTCTTGTCTTATATTTCAGGTTCTTCTGTCGTGCTCTCATGTCTTTCATCGAGTGAGTATCAGCTTAAACGAGTATCAATAAAAAGCTTACAAAAATAATCAAACATTTACAGGAATGACTGCCTTTATGTTGAACTATGGGTGTCTGTTAAGATTGTATAATACCCATTCATTTGATGCAGATAGAATTATTTTAAATTTTTCACTGGTTGGTTTTCTCAGAACTGTCTTCAAGCATTTGAACGTTTCACCGGAAAGAAGACGTGCCCGATGTGTAGAAAAGAGCAGTACCAAACGAGAGTTATACATGAAGGTGCCAAACTCCATAGAGTTAAGTGTGCCACACGGTGAGTCCTCCAATCACAGTTTGCGAGTGATGCTGTCGACCCCTTGGTATAATTTCATTTTTGTATGAGTCATTCCCAATAAGTCCTTGTAATAGTAGTTCAGGTAACTCACATGCAGAATTGGAATTAGGTAGTACAGGAACTGTTCGAATGTGTGAAATTTCTCTGACAGTGGTCTCGGTTAAAGCTGAAATTCCTTATGTAAGCTGTAGGGATACTGCTTTGCTTTTTTAAACTTTTTTTAGTTTTTGTTTGTTTTTTGTTTGTCATTGCTTCCCTTCAGAATACATGATGTCTTGCAGTTTCACAATAATGTTTCAGTTACAATTTTAATGGCTGCATTTCCAGAATTCAGGCATGTTGGAGAGGGTATGTCGTCCGGACCTGGTATTGCAAACTTAGGCTAACAGTACCGCCGAAAGACCCCAGGCTTCGGAAGAAATTCTACGAGGAAAAGGTACACATTGCAATTGTGGTACCACTGAGTTTTTGAAAGGTTCAGTGAGGAAGCAAACGGTTCAGTTTCAGAGAGGATACTATTTCTGTGAAAAAAAAAAATCAAACACAAAGAGAGACACTTCTTGCTTTTCTTTCGCAATGAATGAAAACATGTCTATTAAAGAGTTGGTGTAATGAATGTCATAAGAGTACCACTGATGTAGTGTCCAAATTTTCAAATATTAAACCACTTACCTCTGACTTTTAAAACATTTAGTAAAGACCATGTGGAACTGTTGATCAAGTGACTGTATCTGCAACCAAAATTAAAGATCTTTCATACAAATGATTTGATGCCCAAAATAGCCCTCCGAAATCTGACCTACCATAATTAGTTTGAAAAAGTCCATTAGCTGTCAGGATATAGAGAATTTTCACATTTTTGCCAGACATCTTAACTTCATATCCTCTATATTGATATTAACATCCTGTCGTTGATCCAATTCAGTGTAGGGGGCCTACTCACCTTTCCTTTCTATCTACTGTCAAAAATCACAGTCCAGTGTATCATACAGCTGCATAGGGAGCTAAACAAACTGAATGTAAAGGTACATCTACCAATCATTTTCGTGAGGCTTTAAATTCCTGCTTTTGTTAGAAGTCATATCTCCTAGACTGATCTCTTATCTCAGAGTTTTAGAACCCTTCTCTGAGGCATTGTTTGGCTGTCTATTGCTCCATCAGTTTCATGCTTGTCTACTCCTTGTGTGAGTCAAAAAAAGCTTTATTGGCGCTAACAAAGTTACCCTGAGGTAAACTTAACATTGTTCCAGAGGATTCTGTGTAACGAGAAGATTAGCTCCTTTGACCCTTCAATTCCTGGACTAGATCCTTTCTTGCCAGGACCTGTAAGATCTTGACCAGCTCAAGGCATTAGTTCACACACTAAATCATAAGATGTCACTGTGTATCATAGTAGAATGATTTGATCGGTGTACAGGTAATAAAAATCTAGGTCCTTAATATCCATATGTACAATCACCTGTGAACATCGCTATTCTAATCCAGATAGTGGGTATCAAATGGAGAACTTGTATATACACTGCCATTATCATTAAATATTGACCTGATCATCTTCGAAAAATATAGAAAGTTTTTATGTAGTGATATTTCTCCAGTTGCAGACAATAACAGAGCGATTATTGCGATCCTACGACACCCATGTGGATGCCTTCTTAGCAGAAATGGACCGTTCCATTACGGCCAGTAGGGATGTCTTTAAGAACCTGGAAGCTTCAAATCTTCGTACCATAACCCCAGAGGAATGGGACTTAATACAGCTGAAGGTACAGTGCCCTTCTTCCCGTCTTTTCATGAGTTCCTAAGTAGGTCCTGGTTTATATTAACAAGTGCAAAACACCTATGCAATATTCAGTGAATTAGGGGAGATTTGGGGGGAGTATAATTGCAACATTTGGACCACATATTCAACAGGGTTTAATAGTTTGAGGAAAGCCGTTTATAAGTATCATTGGGTTTTGGCCTTCACGGAGCTTGTGGGAATGGAGCCAGTAGGCTTCCCATGTATAAGTGCAGCTCCATTATCTCTTGAATGACCTTGCCAGAGTCCCCTGGTCAATTTGGTGTTGGCCGTATTCCATCAATGTTGGACACCAATTGGTACATGGTTTGCACATCACACTTGAATGTTCAATGTGACCAATGCTTGCAGGTTCTGAATAATGTTATGCAAGACATACTTCACTATTGCTGTTACAAACTCAGTATCTTTGGGCTCTTGGTAGGCAAAATTACAGTATCCAAGACATGATATCACAATCCTTTGCAGCTGTAACAATCTCTTCATCTTAAACCTAACGGGTTTTAGCTCTGCCCTAAAGCCCCTAGCCCTAAATATGTGTCATAATCACCCATATGTCAAGGTTCAGCCCTTTGGACTTTATCTTGACTATCAGAAACGCTGCCTCATCTATTTCAGTGTTATTAACGTCCTGTTTATATACACGTATAATTTGTTTTCAGGCAGTGGAGAGAGGCAAGACAGAGTGTCCAATTTGTATTATGCCTTTGTACCAGCCAGACAGTGTAGACACCAGCACCAATTCAACCATCACCCAACATAGTGAGACTACCAGTCATAAAACGAGGACCAAACCTTGTGAAAGACCCCCCAACAAACCCACTCGCAGTGCCACATGCATGCCAAATAACTCTACACAAAAGAAGAAAATCAGACAGCAAGACACGAGGGTCCCCAGCAGATCAAGTGGGAGTCTGCATCACAGGAGACAAACACAGACTGAGAATGACACTTCCAGTGACCGAGATGGTGACAGACAGAGTCCTAGACACACAGTGCTGCTTTCGTGCACCCATGTGTTCCATCTGGTCTGCCTGCAAGCATTTGAGGAGCTATCCTTGGCCCAGACCAAAGTGTGTCCAGTCTGCCGTTCAGGGTATCAGAAAAAAGTCCTTTCTTCTCCCTAAGGCCAACCTAAATTTAATATGATTTCTGTCTTTTTGTGTGTGGCGCCAACAATGCTGAATTAAAAAAGGCTTTCATCTCCTTGATGAATATACATGTCACAAAAGGTCCATACGATCTCTTTTCCCTTTAAACCACCTCACAAATTATGCTTTATTAGGAGAGTTTGGCATGTACATGTAATGACAATGTTTTAGGAATAGAGTGGCATTTCTACGCGATTGCAGGGTGAAAATTACACTGACAGACGACATCACTGATTACCAGTATACATATATGAGCACGTGTTGTAGCGTTTTGATCATATAAAAGAATACTTGTAGCGAGTTTGATGTCAAAATTTTACCATTAAATCAGTCTTCATGCAATGATGAGGAAAGTTTCGGTGTTTGTGTTTTCATTGTCCTAAGTTCAAAGGAAACAGTGGGCTCAAACAAAGGGATTGAATCGGCACAGTGTTGAACCAAAACTGAGGGGGATTACAAAAATCAAAGAACATTCATACGCAATAGTTTTTAACTCATCTTGTCTCTAAAGATCGCACATTTGGGGCCACAGTCAAGCCACTGGTAGGCTTTAGGCTGATGATTATGGGCGGGGCATCCTTTGATTTCTCGATCGTGAACTGATGCAGAAAGGAGATGAATAATGCCTTTCGAGCCAGCTGCTTTCCTAGACATGCCCAACGACCTGCAGTATTAAAAGCGAAAATGTGTATGTGTGGGTGGTTACATCTGGTGACAAAACCTTGTGTGAAGCCATTTCTTGCGAGAAAGTCTTTAACTTTAGACAAAGCAAGGGTGCTGGAAACGAAGTATTTTGAGAGGACTGCTTGATGTCAGCTAATGGAAGAGTAACTACGCTCCAGTGATAAACAAAGACGGATACAGTGTACAAGGCCCTGCACAATGCCTTGAGGAGACGGATTTAGTCAACCTACCAACACTGAAAAATTGAAGTTTCTCTCGAAGGAAAGAAACATTGCCATTTTTTATGAATCGACTAGGGACAAACCTCCCTGCACCCTGCCACATGTTTTTGTTTCCGCAGAGCATCAAGATGCTCACTACAACTATCCGGTTCGTAAGTGACTTCGTCACAACGGCGGACGCGCCCCGATTCGCCGGACGATCGTAGAAGTTGCGCGTTAACTTCCGGTTCCATGGCTCCACATAAACGGTGATCAATGCATGTAACTCTATGTGCTGTGCATGTGCAGTGGGCGTGGTTTAAACTGAAGTGACATCACACGTACCGGATTGTGTCTTTTGGGATGAGGTCCACGGATCTATATTTGCCGTATAACGCAAAGGGAGGGGTGATATGAACGCGAAACATGTATCTCGAGGACTGTCGGCTCTGTGTAGGGCAGGCCGGTAGCCGAGATATAGGTAAACAGTTTTGACGGACGACGTCATTTTGCTCTTGTTGCACGTTGGGGCATTGAGATTGGCCATTTTAAGAAACAGTGCCCATCGGAGACTATAGGAAGTCGTCTCTGTCCAAGCCAAGAACATGGCCCAAAGATCGTCACAAGAAAATTTGAATGATTGGAGTTTTATCATCATTGCCGGCCCGACAGCATCTTGCTTAGATAGGCCAACGCATCAATTATCTGGGTCAAACCTTCGGCGGTGAGCCTCAACTTTCCTTCGGATGAACTCCAGAGGCTGTAACGCAGTCCAAGAAGTCTCTGTACCCTGAGAGGAATTACAACTTCGTCCAATTAGGGTAAGTAGCTCACTACCGGCCAAACCCACGGTCCAGGGGAAACGTTCCTTACTTGTTGGTCGACTAGCAACAAGAGAAAAAGGATCATGAATTGTATGCCTACAGAATGGGGAGCAAATGGAAGGCCATAAGGTTAATTCGACAGCATTATCATTTTTTTTTAAATATATGACTAATCTGCAACATATTTTGCGCAATCAAAACTACTTAAGCAAAATAATGTGATACTAACCAAAATGTACATCACAAGGCCCCGCACGCTGTTGTTGGAAAAAAATATACAGCAGATGCCAAAATTGACACATGCAGGTCTGCATACTGTTATGTACATGAACAATAATAATGAACAGTGATTTATAATAGTGAATGATTGTTTGCCCGCAGCTTCCAAATTGGTGCTGGTGGCACTCTTGGCCTTACGAAGCAGCTGATTAGAGTGGTCAGGTGGAGGAACATGGAAGAAAATAATTCTTTGCCACTCTTCTTATTACACGGCCCTTCATAAAAAAAATTTTTTATTCAATATCGATCATGGCTTCCACTGCCATAACACAAACTGGACAGATGATTCTACTGTAATTACCAAGTCACTAAACTGATTAGACATAACACTGTAGAGACGGTGAATGCATAGCTAATCTCATCTTCATCTTATGCATAGATGTCTTCAATTTTATTCAGCCTATCAGTTGCAGTAGTTCCAGTGACAGCACCTTTCCGTTTGCAGCTGCCAAATTGTTCGAAGAATTGTGGGATATGCACTGTCCTAACGACAAAATGATTAATTAAACCGCCAAATCTGATATCCACTAACAAGTCGTAAATAAAACTGGTCTTTTGAGGTGTGTTGTTCATTGTGTAGCATCGTGGTTGATACGGGTTTCACCTTAATTACAGCTATGATCAAACCCATCTGTTGGTACGGCCATCCGAAACATTACTCGGCAAAAGCCTTTGTCAATTTTATCCAGGATACCAAATAAATGTTTTTTGACAATATTGAGAACCAAGTCAGAGTTTTGAGGTCAGACTGGTATACACTTGGTAACATTTCAATAGCTCCAGTTTGAGCGTATCACACGAATGCTTTAAGCAAACGAAAGAATAACCTTTGACCATCGGGTAAGTCAAGGACGAGTGAACTGCCAATAATTATGACCGCGTGTGTCGGCTGACATGATCACCGAGCGAAAAGTTTAAATCGTGTGCGCAGAGGAACTAATAAAGGACATGCTATCAGAATATGACCTTACACCGGAATTTTTGTCATACTGTTGTGATTATTTACGGCAGTTTGCCGCTTTTGCGAAAGCCGTCCAACATTTCCTTTGAAGAATTCAACCGTTAACTTTACTAGTGATGGTAAAAAGTTCAGGATAGCTTCCTCACTTTGGAACAAAAGACGTGATCTTAATGAGCAAAACAGTGATGAATTTTTTTTCCAAATTCACTGTTCGTTGGTTCGATGGGCATACTTTCTATGAAGTTCAACCATGAACATACAATGGTATCACCAGCAGTGTATTAAAACTGACATCGACCTAAAATTCTATCCATACTGGTCGCAAAAAACCTATAAAAACTACCAGTGTCCAGACCCCTCGTCCATGAAGCTGTATGAAAACCGCAGAGTAAGAAAAAAGTGGGGCGTGGCCCTGTTGATATTGATGACAAATCTCATCCCCTCCGTCTACAAAACTCTAGTGCACGGCAGCAATCCTGTTGGAATAATCCTGGAACACCCTGTAAGCTAAACGATAATAGCAACCGATTATTCCTTGAACTTTGCTTGCACCGGTCTCCCGTATTATTTTCTTAGCCACATACATACTTGTTTTCAGAAAACAGTCCGGGACAAACAAAATTCATAGTGGTGGCCTGGTTCCCCTCCACCAAACTTATCACGCAGAGGCAGCATGATAACGCCCCTCTTATACGAGTAGGCCTACTAGTGCAAATAACTTCGTGCGCACGGAATAATAAGTCGTGGGCAAGAAATAAAAACAATTTGGGGATGTCCTTTTAAAGGCTCCGTAGGCTTTGGAATAGAGTGTGAGATTTCGAAATACAAATTTTGATTGAAGATATTTGGTGAACGCACAACAGAGGATGGAAACAAGTCATTTTTCGTCTTAACATATACATTCTTATTCCTGCGGAAACGATGTTCCGTTGTAACAAAGAAGCAATGAAAAAACTATGAATAAGCCTATCTGTTTCAATGCAAAATATATTTAGACTTTATTTTAGAAAAAAAATCAGTATCATTTCTATCGCTCAACATTGACCCTGAATTGACACAGAATTGGAATCCGCCACGCCCCTCTCTCGATAGAGCCTTCGATATCGTTGTCGTAGTGCATTTCCCCCGCCGGAGCCTTAATGAGTTCATTTAACGAATTTGACACCAACAGAAGTATCAGACTTGCAACTCTAGCGAAACGCTCATTTTTTTCCGAGTCAGGTCAGCGGAATTTAAATATACATCTATACTTTTCCAAGTCCACTGACTACGGGACGGCTGTGTAGCCATTCGCCCTCATGATAGACCCCAACAACTGTTTAACACACTCTCCGGTACTGGTCCATAGTCCGTTTCGAAGTCCAGTGATCAATATTTGACATCAATCATTCGAGTTCAAAATTTGCAATATCCATGATGGCCCCATTGGAAATAATTTTCACCAGTGTGACTATCAAGTCCCTAGTGGTCTATCTTGGGGTTCTCTACCTTGTTATCTGGTTTATTCGAAGACCAAGGAACCTCCCTCCCGGCCCAACTGGCTTACCTTTCCTGGGTTACTTCCCCAAGTTGGCCCTGCAGGGAGACGAGTACAAATCTCTGGCCTTGCTCGCCAAGACCTACGGGGATGTGCTCAGCTTAAATCTATGCGGACAGCTGGTGGTGGTTGTCAGCAGCTACGAAGCCGTCAAGAAAGCCTTTGCTCATCCAAACTCCAGTGACAGACCGCTATCAACCTTTTACAACAAGGCCACGGAGGACAAAGATGCTTTAGGTAATTACGTTTTACTCATCCCCAGCTGTATGGTGGCGGTTTGATAGGCCTAGTAGCATGTATGTCCAGCAACTTGATGACTGCCATTTTGTACGGGTGGCCAAAGTGTGTTGTTTATTTGTTCTTTGTAACAAGTTCAAGTCGGATGCCAACTTCTATGGTTCGACTAGTGGTAGTCGATGCTGTTTAACAATTTGCAAGCGCAATTCAGTTACCCTCGAACGACCCTAGTTGGTCAAGATGTTAAAATCTCACCATTACTCACATTTCATCATATTGGCTGCGATTTTCGCAGCGTACATGGTCATTGAAGCTTTGATCTCGTATGATTGCATGTAGGCAACAAGCAAAAGAAAACATATCTCATTATACGTACAGACACGGCTGGGTATACCCAAACATCAACGATGCTATCCGAATGTGGGCGGGACAAGTTCAGAATTTTAGCTTTGTTTGAAGAGGAATTCCTCTGGTTTTGGTCACGTGGACATTAGGTGATATTGGACCCTATATTTGACGAAAATAGTCGAAATCGTGGTCTGGTATCCACACTAGGTTTTTTTTTTTAATGTTTAAAAAGTGTTCTTTTGTTTTAGCTTCGACAAACCTGCCATAGTTTGTCTG